GCACCTTCCTACAGAATCAAAACCTCTTTTCAAATTTACAATTCCTGACAAGGGTGGATGACTCAGTAAGCAAGGTAAGCACGGGCTTACTTGTGTTTACTTATAATCTGTAATGAACAATTTCACATGGGTTTCACCGCATCAAAGATGTGAAATTGTTCACTGTAGATGATCTGGTAAGCAGGGTAAGCACCATGCTTACCTTGCTAATTGTATAATCCACCCCTGAACCCCTCTAATCCTATGAGGCAGGTATATTTATTTTCCTATTTTACAGATGAAGAAACTGAGGTTCAGTGAAGTAATTTGCCTAAGGCCACACAACTAAGAAGTATCAGAGCAAGGATACGATCTCCATCTGTCTGACTCCAGAACTTGAGTTCTTAACCTTTTTTCATTGCCTCTCTTCAGGAACCTCTCTCTGTTCCGAGTTCCTGGGACTTCTTGTGTAATCTCTTACTCTACCAAAAACCCATTGCCGAGGAGTCGGAGTCGATTCCGACTCATAGCAACCCTAAAGGATAGAGTAGAACTGCCCCATAGGGTTTCCAAGGAGTGACTGGTAGATTTGAACTACTGACCTTTCTGTTAACAGCCAAGCTCTTAACCACTGCACCACCAGGGCTCCCCTCTAGCAACAGGAATGATAAATCATTTTATTTTCCAGTAGAGGGCGCTCCAGTTTACATAGGGGATCAGGATCACCACGGAACTGTGGCCCTAACCAAGAGTGGGGCAAGGCACCAGGACAGGGGCTGGAAGCTTGTAACACCACTATAAAGATCCTTCAGAGCAGCTTAAGGCATTCCACTCACTCCCGTTCCAGTGGTGGAGGTATCAGGCAGTTGTTAATACCATGAAGTTTTCCTCAGCATTTTTAGGTTAAAAAACTTTTTTAACTCTCCATAAGGCCAACAGGGTAATCTCTGCTGACAGTTGTGTCCTTCTTGTTTGTTCTCCTGCAGCAGTTCCAGCTGACCAGCCACTGGGAACCTGCTGTTTAAGCAACTGGTAATGGACTGCAAAACAGCACGAGGAGGCCCGGGCAAGCAGGGTCAGCACCCTCCACGCTGGGAGTCCAGGCCAGCCTTGCAAACAGGAGTCTGGAACTAAGGACCCAGGAGCATAGGTGATGTGTGTATGTCTAGCTATCTTCTGCTCTGAGCTTATTTCATTGTGTCAAAAATAACAAATGCTTGTAAGCAAATTCAAACCATACAGAAGAATATATACCGTATATAAAAAGTGAAACTCCCCCCTCTCAGTCACTCCCACCCCTCAGGATAACAACTGTTTTCACTATTTGTTGTCTATATTTTCACATCCTTTTCTATGTAAATCTTGTTAATAAACATGAGCTTAAGTTTGTTTTTTTTTAATTGACTAGTACAAAATGGAATTAATATGTTGATCTTCAATTTGATAAATAACTTTCCAAAATTTTGTACTAATTTACACTCCCACCAATAGTGTATGAAAGTGCGCATTTCCTCCCACTCTAGCCAACAACAGTGACTTGTGTAGTTTAAAAAAAAAAATTGTAAAAATGCCTCACCCATCCTTTCTCCTTCCATCTGTCCTTTCCCCTCCTTCTCCTTTCTATTAAATTTGCAACCTCTGACCCGTGCACATTACACAGAATTCCAGGTTTGTCAGGAGATGGCAGAGAGGAAAAAAGAGGAGGGAGAACTTATGGCCCATTAACAGGGATACACAGAGATGTGGCATTACTCTGTAAAAAGTGATGCCAGCACATTGTATATGTTTACTAGAGCTCTTGTGTACAACTCAATGGCCAGCAAAAATTATATGGGCAGAACTCCTTGCTAGGAAGGTAATCTCATTTTTTATCCTCAGATAATGATGCAGTTGAAAAAAGCAAACATTGTCTTATCCCCACCCTACAGAGGATTAAAAGGTGACTCAGCAAATTTGGGTGAGTTGCCTAAGGTCACAGTGCTTGTCAAAACTGGAATGCTAAATCAATGTTCTCTCCCCTACATTACATTTACATCTTTTATATGTGTGTAAAATATAGGCATGTGTGTATGTATAGAGATATAATCTCTAAGTGTATGTATAATTTGTGAACATATATTATACCCCATTTTATATACACATATAGGTATATAACAGGTGTAATCTCTATGTGTATAATAATACATTGTACATAAAATGGGGTAGATAGTACAGGAGGGGCAAAGAGGTGGTTTAAAGACAAAACCCCACCTAAAAGTGACATGTCAGGCCCTAACAAATACACAGGTGCGTCAGAAACAGAATTGTTGTTCTTAGGTGCCATGGAGTCGGTTCCAACTTATAGGGTTGGGAAATGTTGAATTGTAAATTAGTTCTTTATAGTCATGGTCCTGGGACAATGTGTACCAAAGGTTAAGAGCATGGAACTTTAGAGTCACATACACCTAGATTCAAGTCCTATCTTAACCACTTATTACACATATGACCTTGGAAAGCTAAGTTCTCTGGGCCTTTTCTCATTTGTGAAACAGAGATAATACTATTCTCTATCTCATAAGATTGTCTGGTGGAGGAAATGAGATAATGCATACAAAACACCTTGCAATGTGCCTGGAATACAGTAAGTCTCAGTAAGAGTTAAACCCACCCACTGCCACTGAGTTGATTCCAACTCATAGTGACCCTATAGAACAGGGTAGAACTGCCCCATAGGATTTCCAAGGCTGTAAATCTTTACGGAAGCTGACTACCACATCTTTCTCCTGCGGAGCAGCTGGTAGGTTTGAACAACTGACCATTCGGTTAGCAGCCAAGCTTTTTAACTGCTGTGCCATCCGGGTTCCTCCAATAAGTGTTAGTCATTATTGTTCTTTATTATATGTTTGCCTGTGTTCTTGTTATTCATTTAGATTCAACATAGTTCAGCTGTGTGTAAACGTAAGCATGTGACTGAAGAGTGGCAATAACGAATGATTAAAGCAGTGATTCTCATCCCTGGCCACCAATTAGATAATCACTTGGTGAGACAGAATTAAAAAACTGATGTCTAGGCCAGTGAAATCAGAATCACTGGATTAAACAAAAGACATTAGTGGTTCTATCAATGAGAGAACCTTAAGTATGCAAATGAAGCAGGCCATTACCTCAGGTTCTAGGGAAACTGGAGCTGCCCTCTTTAGAATTCAAGTATCTGAGAAGACATATGAAATCCTTTGCTTAAGAAGCCCAGGACCCTTCCCAGTTTTTCAAACTGCAGGTCTCGACCAATTGGTGAATTATAAAATCAAATTAGTGTGTGAGACAATTTTTTTTTTCTAATGAAGTACAATGAGAAAATTATAGTGCATCATAAGGATAAATATTGTTTTGAAAAACTTTTGTTTCATACACACATTATGTAGTGGACAACAATGTAAAATTATATTTCTTACTTGAGTTCATGATCAAAAACATTAAACAACCATTCCAGGATGAACCATTTCCCAACGGTACTCAATGTTATAAAGATCTGTTGAGGTCAATCAAGTAGAGCCACCCCAGGCCCAGTGTTAGGAAAGGGCAAGGAGGCCCCTGAAATAAAAGCATCGTGGAAATCAGGGTGAGCTGCTCCACTCACCAGTGGAATTGGAAAGAGAAGGGAGATGACAATTCTAGGTCTCTTTGGCAAGGAAGCCAAAGGCAGATTCCAGAACATGTTCCAACCCAGCCCTTTTAGGGCAGACATCAACCAGGAATGGCTGAGTCAGTAAATCAGAAGACACACAACCCAAAAGGCTCTTAATATTTTGACAGTATGAGACTAACCCAAAAAAAAAAAAAACCTGTTGCTTCTAAGGAGCATTCTGGTTGTACTTCTTCCAAGGTAGATTTGTTCATTCTTTTGGCAGTCCATGGTATATTCAATATTTCTCACCAACACCATAATTCAAAGGCGTCAATTCTTCTTCAGTCTTCCTTATTCATTGTCCACCTTTCACACGCATATGAGATGATTGAAAACACCGTGGTTTGGGTCAGACACACACTGTCTTAGTTGTCTAGTACTGCTGTAACAAAAATACCACAAGCGGACAGCTTGAAGAAAGAGAAATTTATTCTCTCACAGTCTAGTAGGCTACAAGTCCAAATTCAGGGCATCAGCTCCAGGGGAAGGCTTTCTCTCTCTGTCAGCTCTGGGAGAAAGGTCCTTGCCATCAATCTTCCCTTGGTTGAGGAGCTTCTTAGGTGAAGGGACCCCAGGTCCAAAGGATGCGTTCTTCTCCCAGTGCTGCTTTCTTGGTGGTATGAGGTCCTGGTGTGTCTCTGTTCGCTTCTCTCTTATATATCTCAAAAGAGATTGGCCTAAGGCACAGTCTAATCCTATAGGTCTCATCAATATAACTGCCGCTAATCTTTCTCATTAACATCATAGTGATAGGCTTTACAGCACAGGAAAATCACATCAGATGACAAAATGGTGGACAATCACGCAGTACTGGGAATCACAGCCCAGCCAAGTTCACAGATATTTTTGGGAGACACAATTCAATCCACGACACACGCCATAGTCTTCTAGGTGACATCTTTGCTTTTTAACCCTTTAAAGAGGTCTTTTGAAGCAGATTTGCCCAATGCGATATGTCATTTGATTTCTTGACTGCTGCTTCCATGGGTGTTGATTGTGGATCCAAGTAAAATGAAATTCTTGACAACATCAATCTTTTCTCCATTTATCATGTTGCTTATTGGTCCAGTTGGGAGGATTTTTGTTTTCTTTACATTATATCACCTTGTATAAAAGGGTATAAAAATCATGAAAAAGACATTGTTTCTATACACAAAATTTAATAATCTAATAAATTTATAATCTAATAATCCCCATTTAATTACTTTTCACAGAACAAATATGCAGTATTATCTCTAATAATCATGGCTATTCAGCTGAGATATACAATTATCCCCATTTACAGACAAGGAAATTGAGGCTTAGAGAGCTTAATAACATCCCCTAAGACCCCATAGTTATTTAAGAACTGTGTTTCTCATGGACAGATTCTCAAGGGGGCTCCACTGTCACCTTCTCCAGGCAGCTCAGGACAGAAGAACGGGTGCAGAGGCTCCAAACAGGAGAGGTCACTATGTGTATAGATGAGGGCATCATTTCTAACATCAAAAAACTTTACTTCTCCCATGTCAACATCCAGGAAAATTCCCACACAGTGAAGGCTAGAGCTTGCAGAAATTCTGGTCTGTGGAAAGGAGCTGCTGCAGATTGCCCCTGCGCTCATGCTAATGGTCCAGAAGCCAAGCTCAGAGGATAAACTGCTCTTCCCTTTTCTGTCCACAGACTCCTTGCAGACACCCAGAGACCATTCTTTCCCCTCTCCCACTTCCACCTCCCAGTAATGGCAGCCAGTGGAGAAGCAGGGGGTGCCAAGGACACAGGTCATGTGGGTGAATCTATTAGGATCTTCCATTGGGTTGTTGCAGATCTTCCCACACTGAACACTCCTGAGGTCACTGGAGAGGACAAGTAAGGAGTTGGCAGTAGCTGCATCCAGGGTCATATCGTCTCGGGACCTCAGGAGTCCATCACTCAAGTGCAGTCTTTCTTCCAGTAGGGGACCATGCTGCCTGATGAGAAATGTCAATGCTGTAATTTGCCATCCTTGCAAAAAATGTTTCTCATTTATTTCTCGACACATCGGGCAGGTCAATACGGACTCCTTCCTTTCTCGAATCCAAGTTTCAATGCAGTCGCAACAGAAGGTGTGTGCACAGGAGAGTGAAAATGGTTTGGAGAAAAAATCCAGACAAACAGGGCAGGTTACTTCTGTTTTCAGACTCTTGGCCATAGTTCTTGAAGGTCAGCAGTGAACTGAACGGAAATGGCTCCTTCTTAGCTTCTGGAAGCAATCAGGAGCCCTGGGTACTGAGCAATCTGCTCTTCAATAAACACGATATGTCTGAAACCACATATGAAAGAAGACCTTAAGTTAGTATGAAAAAATTAAAATGTGTTGAAGTGGACAAGGCAATGCTGGCTCTTTCAGAAGTGATGGTGGTCAGAGAGAAAATAGGACAATGGAAATTGTCTTCTCAGATGGGGCAGCTTACCTTGTCTGAAGACTTTCAGGCGAGGTTCTCTGTGACGACTGAGCTCACCTGGGTCTTTATTGTTTCTAGGAGTGGGGTCTCTGCCCCTAATCAGTATTCCTTTGTAAGTCACCTGCAGTTCAAGAATCAAAGAATTTCCACGTCTAAATCAATCATAACAATAAAGCCAATCCTATTCTACTCATCACATAAAGGTGACTATGAGGGATCTCCAGAATTTCAAAAAATTTACCATCTAAGGAAAACTAGGAAAATCCACTGCAAAATGAATGAGCTGCCCACTGTAGAATCGTAGAATTTTAAGGACAAAATATTGTTTCAATTAAATGCATTAAAGTATTCTTGGAAAATTAATCAAGGTTTGAGTGAGTGAGAATAAAAATATCATTGGAGATACAAATGTGTGTAATAACAGACAGGCTATCTACCCACATGGAACTTGGAGTTTTTGGAAGCCTTCCAATGCCTGAGTGACATTCCAGTCTAATGGGGTCTAATTGGGCAACAATAGAGATAACCTTTTTTCTTAAATCCTGTCATCTTTTTTTTTTAACTATTTTTTTTAGGCAAATTAAGCATAATGCTTGCAATCCAAAAGAGCTAGCCTAACACACCTTGGAGATTAATTTAACAAAAGAAAAAAATACCATATATGTAAAAAAGTAGTTCTTTTCATTGTTAAGCAATCCATGTAACAATAATGCAATGATTAGGTTAATTATAATACAATTAAACATGGCAAGTATACTTTGGTGAAAACTCAGAAAAACTAATAAATAAATAAATAAACCATTGCCTGGAGTCGATTCCGACTCATAGCAACCCTACAGGACGGAGTAGAACTGCCCCCACAGGGTTTCCGAGGAGCGGCTGGTGGATTTGAACAGCCGGCCTTTTGTTAGCAGCTCTTAACCATTGCACAACCATGGCTCCGAAAACTCAGAAAAGTCGTTAAGAAATAATGCTAGAAAATAAAAGGGAAGAAAATTTCAATGACACATACATTGCTGTTGAAAAAGCATAAATATACATGTACGTGTGAAAATGACTTGAGGTCAATATGCAAAAATATAAACAGCGATGTTAGAGTGGAAAGTGAAGAAGTTCTCTGACACAGGACAACACTGACTCTTTCTCTTTTGAAATTCAAAGGTGAAGGCATTCGAAATAGAAACTGTTGTCAAAGAGAGAAATAAGACAGGGGAACTACCCTAGACTGCAGGGCCGGCTTACCTTTACTTGGAGACGGTCTGCTGAAGTCCTAAATGGCAGAGGCCAGCACCCTGGGTCTCTCCTTCGGCCGTCCACAGTAACTTGCGCTGAGGTACTCTGGCCTTTTATAGTGCCTGGGACACAGGCTCTGCCCTCAACCAGGGACACAGGCTCCGCCCCAGAGAATGTGTTGTCTAGATTTAATAAAATAGACATCAATTCTACTCTTCCTTGTGCATTAAAGCACAATCAGCATTTCATAGTATAGCTACCCTCTTTGAATTAAATAAGGTAATCTACTGTCATGGACTGAACTGTGTCCCCTAAAAATATCTGTCAGGTTGGCTAGGTCGTAATTCCCAGTATTGTAATGATTGTGGCTGTTGCACCATCGTACTTTGGAAACAGGTAACTTGTATTCTAGATTTCACAGATGAAGAGGAATTTTTGGATTTTGGACTTGGAGTTGATTTAAGACTTTTGCTATGGTATAATCAGGTGAATATGTTTTACATGTGGTAAGGACATAAATTTTGGGGGACCAAAGGGTGTTATGTCATGGATTGAACTGTGTCCCCCCAAAATATGTCAACTTGGCTAGGTCATAATCCCCAGTATTGTAAGGATTGTCTACCATTTTGTCATCTGATGTGATTTCCCTATGTGTTGTAAATTCTATCACTATGATGTTAATGAGATGGATTAGTGGCAGTTATATTGATGAGAGCTACAAGATTAGATAATGTCTTAAGCCACTCTTTTTTGAGATCTAAAAGAGAGAAGGGAGCAGAGAGACAGGGGGACCTAGCACCACCAAGAAAGCAGTGCCGGGAGCAGAGAGCGTCCTTTGGACCTGAGGTTCCTGTGCTGAGATGCTCCCAGACCAAGGGAAGAATGATGCATCACAAGGCCCTTCCACCAGAGCTGACAGAGGGAGAAAGCCTTCCCCTGGAGCTGGCGCCCTGAATTCAGCCTTTTAGCCTATTGGACTGTGAGAGAACAAACTTCTCCTTCTTAAAGCCATGCACTTGTGGTATTTCTGTTATAGCAGCACTAGATGACTAAGACACCTACTGAATCTGAATGAACGTCTCTAATTTCAGAACTCAACTTTGAAAAACAAAATGTCATACAGATCAAATACAGAAATGCACACTGAAACCTAATTAAATCTTGACTAATGTAATCTTTGGTATCAACATCTCTAAAATAATTGTGAGTAAACAAGATCTAAAACAGTTTTCACGTTCTTTGACTCAGCAATTCTACTCTTGAGGGTAGTTACTGGATGCAGTAAGAAAGATGGCAGCCAGTTTAAGCCTGTTTTGTGGTAATTATTAACAACATCCTCTTCTACTCTCATGCTTTTGCATGCCATGGGCTACCATAAGAACAAACAAATCTATCTTGGAAAAGGTAAGCCAGAATACTCATTAGAAGTAAGGATGATGAGACTTCATCTCACATACTTTGGACATGTTATCAGTAAGGACCAGCCCCTTGAGAAGGACATCATGCTTGGTAGAGGGTCAGCAAAAAGAAGAAGACCCTCAATGAGATAGATTGACACAGTGGCTGGATCAATGGGCTCAAGCATAACAATGATTGTGAGGACTAGGCAGGGCTTCGTTCTGTTGTACATAGGGTTGCTATGAGTCGGAACTGACTTGACAGCACCTAACAACAACAACAACAACTCTCAAAAATGTCCAGGTTTGGACGATAAATTATATAATATCAGTGTTGTTACTAGTAATCAAAAAAACCAAACCTATTGCCATTGCCGTCGAGTAGATTCTGACTCATAACAACCCTATAGGACAGAGTAGAACTGCCCCACAGAGTTTCCAAGGAGCGGCTGGTGGATTTGAACTACTGGCCTTTTGGTGTTAGCAGCTGTTATGGATTGAACTGTGTCCCCAAAAAATGATAATGAGACTTCCTCCAATCCTGATGCCGTGTTCTTCTTCATATAGTCCAGCTTCTCAGATTATTTGCTCAGTATACAGATTGAATAAGTATGGTGAAAGGATACAACCCTGATGCACACCTTTCCTGGTTTTAAACCACACAGTATCCCCTTGTTCTGTTTGAATGACTGCCTCTTGGTCTATGTACAGGTTCCTGATGAGCACAATTAAGTATTCTGGAATTCCCGTTATTCGCAATGTTATCCATGATTTGTTATGATCTACACAGTGGAATGCCTTTGCATCGTCAATAAAACACAGGTAAACATCTTTCTGGTGTTCTCTGCTTTCAGCCAAGATCCATCTGACATCAGCAATGACATCCCTCATTCCATGTCCTCTTTTGAATGTGGCCTGAGTCTCTGGCAGTTCCCTGTCAATGTACTGCTGCAACCGCTTCTGAATGATCTTCAGCAAAATTTTACTTGTGTGTGATACTAATGATATTGTTTGATAATTTCTGCATTCTGTTGGATCACCTTTCTTTGAATGGGCACAAATATGGATCTCTTCCAGTCACTTGGCCAGGTAGCTGCCTTCCAAATTTCTTGGCATAGACAAGTGGGAGCTTCCAGCGCTGCACACATTTGTTGAAATATCTCAGTTGATATTCCATCAATTCCTGGAGCCTTGTTTTTCTCCAAAGCCTTCAGTGCAGCTTGGACTTCTTCCTTCATTACCGTTGGTTCTTGATCACATGCTACCTCCTGAAATGGTTGAATATCAACCAATTCTTTGTGGTACAGTGACTCTGTGTATTCCTTCCACCTTCTTCTGATGCTTCCTGCATCATTCAACATTTTGCCCATAGAATCCTTCAATATTGCAACTCGAAGCTTGAATTTTTTCTTCAGTTCTTTCAGCTTGAGAAATGCCAAGACTGATCTTCCTCTCTGGTTTTCTATCTCCAGGTCTTTGCACATGTCACTATAATACTTTACTTTGTCTTCTCAAGCTGCCCTTTGAAATCTTCTGTTCAGCTCTTTTATTTATCATTTTTTCCATTCACTTTAGCAACTCTACGTTGGAAGACTAAGTTTCAGAGTCTCTTCTGACGTCCATTTTAGTCCTTTCTTTCTTTCTTGTCTTTTAAATGATCTTTTACTTTCTTCATGTGTGATGTCCTTGATGTCATCCCACAACTCACCTGATCTTCTTCAGTCATTAGTGTTCAGTATGTCAAATCTACTCTTGAGATAGTCTCTAAATTCAGGTGGTATATACTCAAGGCTGTACTTTGGCTCTCATGGACTTGCTTTAATTTTTTTCAGCTTCAACTTGAACTTGCATATGAGCAATTGATAGTCTGTTCTGCAGTCAGCCCTTGGCCTTGTTCTGACTGATGATATTGAGCTTCTCCATCATCTCTTTCTGCAAATGTAGTCAATTTGATTCCTGTGTATTTCATTCAGAGAGGTCCACATGTATAGTCACCGTTATGTTGGTGAAAAAAGGTATTTGCAATGAAGAATTCATTGGTCTTGCAATTTTGTCATGTGATCTCTGGTATCGTTTCTATCACCAAGGCCATATTTTCCTTCCTTGTGTTCAACTTC